GTTCCTATGAAGCAGAGGTTAACGATGTCCCAAATGTTCAACTTTTCCAAACTGCTGTACTACTCCATTATCTCTAAGATCAACTGCTCTTTCACCCATCAGTCCTCTCCCTCCCATCTCTGGATTCTGTCATTCACTGCAACATCTCACAGAACTCGTGGACCATCAAGGAAATGGCTCACATGCTTGTGGATCCCGATAAGTCCCAAATCCGTGGGCCAGGCATCAGGCTGGAGGATTCTCCTCACTCGTGTTGTTGCAGAGACTGACAAACCCAAACTGGCTGGTCAGACAACAGGCTGCTGGCTCACAAGGCTGTGGAGGCTGGAGAATCAGGTGAACGTCTAAGAACTGGAGGTCAGATGATGACAAGCCAGATGCAAAGCAAGAGAGAATTTTGCCAGAGCATTCAGATATGAGAGGTGACTATACCCTCAAGGAAACCCCTCTGCTTGAGAAAGGCAGTACAAGGTGGCACTTGAATACAGGTGATAAGGGTGATGATTGGGGTAAGAGTAGTGACTTGAGTCACACCCTTTAGCAAGGCAGTGACTCAAGATACATCTCACTTTAATTCTGCCTCAGAAACATAATGGACAACTCACTTCCAAATGGGACCACACCCACAGGCATAGAGGCCAGGATTTTAAACATATCACAAAATGGAGAATAATTACATCAGATAATAAAATGGAGGAAAATTATATCACTATGTAACTGCCAAATTATATCATTACATAATTATCAAACTACTGAAAACCATGCCCAGCCAGGTTGATGAATAACCTTGACCATTACAGGTTCAATTCACCTTATTTGCACTACCAGCAAGCTGTCCAGTCCCTTTGGTGGGCTACATGTACTTTATTTGCATAATCCCACCCAATCACTGTGTAAGAGTCATGAAGACTATGGCTAGATGGACCGTATTAAGTAATTCACTATACTGTATTCCATTCACACTATTATACTTGAAAAACTTTTGTTTTAATGCATTAATAATGCTTACTCAATTTTAACTTCTAATACCTTCAAAATTATATTGTAACCTGGTTAGTACCATTTATATTAACAAGTACAAATCATTTATCATTAAATATATTTAAGATGTTTTCTCAAAATTCATTTTGCAAAAGACATATTTTAAGTGGGAATAAACTTTCCACAGATGTTACTGATAATGTTTCCTTAAAGACTTTCTCAGCAGATTCAGTGCTAGAATCACACCTTTTAGGAAACAGTGACTAAAATGGCAAAGGTCTGGACAAGAGGAGTGAAATGAACAGGGAATATGTAAATGAGCAGGGAATATGTAAATCCTAAATGAACAGGGAATATGTAAATTAGAGCAGACAGGTAAAAACTCCGAAGGGCTACAGATGGAGAAGAGTAGACATTTTATATATGGACCCATATGGATAAATGAAAAGAGATATGATAAAGAGACAGGTTTCAGATCAATTTTAAAGAACAATTCGTTTTCTGAAGATATCAAAAGCTATCTCAGGAGACAGTAAGTTTCCTGTCATTGAAGACATCCACCCATAAGCCAGATAAGGAGTTGGGGAAACTATGGCCCATAGGCCAAACTTCAGCCTACCAGATGTCTCTATGATAAGGTTTTATTGGAGTACAGCCACTCATTCTGGTTTCCGTATTGTTTGTGGCTGCTTTTGCACTACAAAGGCAGAGCTGAGTAGATGCAACAGAGACCATATAGCTCACAAATCCTAAAATATTTACTATCTGGCTCTTTGCAGAAAAGTTTGATGACCCCTGAGCTAGATCATCACTGTGGAGAAGCATTTTATTAGGAATCCAAGTATTGTATGGCTTACTGGACAAGGTAGCCAACAAGACAATAGTTACTTTAGTGTTTAGGAAAGTGCCTGGCATGGCATCTGTGCCAAGGGGTAGGTTTGCAGGTTCTTTATTGTACAAAGCAGCCCAGTTAAGGAGGTAAAGGTGTTGAAATTCATACCCGGCACTCTCTTCTCGAAGCTCTGTGTCCTGAAATGGGTCTCTGTCAGGAATAGACATATTTTCCTAATTTTCCCAAAGGCCCCCAATGGACCAAGCTGTGCATACAATCATGTTGACAAAAATTACACCCTTTCCATTCCAGAGGACCTAAGATCAGTGGTATCATTAGGGTTGGTGCCACTCAGTGCAGTCATACCCTACCATCCCCCTACCATAGGCAGGGCCAGCCAGTGAACCCTCCGTAATGGAAGGAGTGCCCTCACCCTCCAAGCGCCTCACTGGCCTGAGCTCCAAACAGCTCAGCCCACCCCTGCAGGCTCCCCCCCATGGCTCCCCAAAGCTCCTCCAATTTCCCACTGGCCAAGGCAGAAACCCTCTTGATGCCATGGCCTGCCTGCCTGCACCCTGACTGGCAGGTGATGTGACACTTGTGTGTGTGTGTGTGTGTGTGTGTGTGGTGGGTGGTGACAGGCGACACAAATCCTAATGAAACCACTGCTTTGGAGGCCCCTCCCTCTGTTATAGGAGCTCTGGTGGCATAGTGCCTAAGGCATTTGACTGCTACCTAGAAGGCTGGCAGTTCAAACCCACCAGCCACTCCTCGGAAGGAAGGTTGGGCAATCTACTTCCATAGTGATACCACCTTGGAAACCCAAGAAGGGGTCGCTGTGAGTCGGATCTGACTCAACGGCAGTGAGAGTCTTTCCCCCTGTTGGGCCAGCCCACATGCCACTGCTGCTCCTGCCACCACCAGGAACCCTGGGATCATTCTGGCGTCATCCCTCTGACAGTGTCACCCCCGTCAACGACTTCACCACACAGACACTCTGTCACTGAATCAGCGCCGTCCCCTAACCCAGCGTTTACTTACATCTCAACAAAATGGAAATCAGTGCTTTCTGAAGTTTTTGTCAGACTTTGAACAATGCTACAAACTCTGCCCTCTGTTTTAGAAAGATACATTGTAAAGTAGCATATCAGAAACTCTGAAAAGCAATGTCAGTTAAAAACCAGGAAAGGCCTATTTAACTTCAATTTACACAGCATTTTCCAAAATTGTCTAATTATAGAACCCTTTTTTTAAGGAAATTCCCATTAATATCTCACATAGCTACTGTTCTGAGGACAAATGCTCTATTCACAGCCACATTTAGTACTTCCAGGGTTCCTTGAGACAGAAAATACATACTTTTTCTAACCCTGTACACACACATTGCTAAAAGCTCTGGTGGTACAGTGCCTAATGCACCTGACTGCTAGCCAGAAGGTTCGCAGTTCAAACCCACCAGCCACTCCATGGAAGGAAGATGACACAATCTACTTCCATAAAGATTTACCACCTTGGAAACCCAAAGGGAGTTGCTATGAGTCAGAATCGACTTGATGGCAGTGGGTTTCAGTGCTTTTTTGTTTGTTTATATACATTGCTAAGCACTTATGATAATCACTTATTGTGATAATCACAACACCTTTACCTCCTTAACTGTGATAAAGACTTAAGAAACAGTTAAACTGATCTAATTCTAGATGTACCTAATCTATACAGAGCACGCCATGTTGGTTTCTTTAACTAAAACCAAACCAAACCAAACTCACTGTCACCAAGTCAATTCCAACTCATGTTGACCCCTCATTGGGTTTCCAAGGCTGTAAAACTTTACAGAAGCAGACCACCCCATCTTTCTTCCACTGAGCAGTTGATGGCTTCAAACCACCAACCTTTTGGTAGCAGCCAAATGCCTTAACCACTACACTACCAGAGCTCCTTGCTTTAACTAAAGTAGACTTTAATTACCTAAGATGGGGGGTCACAAAGTGACCATCCTCCTTCCTCTGAAAGTATTAGTTACTAAGTAGCAAAACAGTGAAACAATGTTGCACACGTATATTTCAAGTGTGTTTCCCCTGTTCCCTGCTATATATTTAAGCATATAAAACTATTCAAGGCATGCAGTATGATATTTTAAGGTTAAAGAATCGTAACTTTTCTAAAATATTGACAGGACATATATTAGAATATAGGCTTAACAATGTCAAAGTCAGGAAAAGCAAATTACCTGAAGAAGGTGACAAAAAACTGCACAAGGTCCATGATTGTATTGTGTTGTGAGAATGCAATCTGAAAAATCAAAATAAAATAAAATTTGAAACTATGTCCTTCTCCAATAACTGTGGTGATGATGTTTTTGCGCATTTATACGTACAATATCTTTAAATTATTGAGACATTTAGGTCATCATATTGTCAAATATATACTGGAATTAAAATTTCATCTATAAAACATAATATATTCAATTATAAGTGATGACCTTCATGTAGGCTATGTCATTAACTGGTTAAAAACGATCCTAGATATTACTTTAAGAATACACGGTAAGAACTTCATGTGAGATGCTATGACAGAATAAATGGGCCTGACAAAAATATGCAAAACAAGCTTCCTCATCTAATAGTGATCATATTTTCATTGAACGTAACTGATTATTGCGTTTAAACCTCTAAAAGATGGTTGAACTCTATAAAAGACAATGGGGGATTTTTTTTTTTTAATGTACTCTTGTCTAAGAGAGCTGTGCACACACATAAAAGCACCTTAACGTACACCTTTCTAACAGTAAAATTCATCACTTCACTTTACCGTTTCGTATTAATAAGAAATGAATTTCAAAAGGTGAAAGTAGACTGTAAGTTAAAGTTGTTCGTCATTTCTCCCAACATTATACAGCTCACACTGTAACATCGTCTTCTGGTCAAGAAAGGAACATCTGAACAGAAACTACCTCACTCTGAAATCCAGCTATCCAAGAGTGGGTCTGCTGCGGAAAACTAACCAATTTGCGCCTGTTTTCCCCTATATGAAATGGTAATAATGAGACCACAGTGTTAGTGGAAGTATTAAATGACTTAATAGAAATAAAGTGCTGATGTGTGGCACATAGTAGGTGCTCAGTAAATAGTATTATAATTTTGCATAATGTATGAAGGAAATAAGTGAGTTTTCCCAGATACCTTAAGCTGAATCTTAGGGAACCAAAACGCCTTTTTCTTTCAATAATTTTTGAAGGAAATCTTTCCAAATCATGTTGTAGATTTGTACTTCCAGTCAAAATGAACTAACAGGGATGAGATGACCCTCCTGCCTCAAAGAACTAGACAAGCCCTGCGAATAGACGGAAGAGGTTAAGCACCTCACCACTCATTGAAAAGTTTGGCAGTTCCAACCCACTTAGAAGCATCTTGGAGGAAAAAAGCCTGGTGATCTGCTTCTGAAATGCTACCAAACCCACTGCCGTCAAGGCATCTTGCAACTCATGGTGACCCTGGAGGACAGAGTAGCATCGCCCCACAGGGTTTCCAGGGCTGTAAATCTTTTCAGAAGCAGGCTGCCACATCTTTCTCCCATGATGCAGCCAGTGGGTTCGAATTACTGACCTTCTGGTTAGCAGCTGGGCACTTAATTGCTAAGCCACCTATGTCTTTGAAATTTCTATGAAATGCAGCTCTACTCTGCACACAATGAGAAAACTGGACAAATTATATGAAAGAATCGTTTTCAGACATTGGACAAGAAGCAAAAGAGGACCGATCCTTAAGAAAAGGGAAACAAAGGGGACGAGTCCCACAACTGCCCTAGTTTTACATCTTGACATATTCAGGAAGACAGAGCACACAGCTGGGTTTCACCCAATGGGTGGTGCTCTCACTAAACTGAGGAAGCAGACATAAATGTTAAGGGAATCTGAGGTAGCTGGAAGTTGTGGGGCAGAGTTCCAGAAAGGACAAGGATAAATCAGGCCCAGAAATTCACATGGAGGTCACACTAAATCTTGGCTCAATACTAACATACATGAGTAGGATGCAATCCTCCAAGGTCAGGCAAACACTGACTGGGAAGCTGTGAACTAAAAACCTCAGCTATTTACACAGAGCTGGGGCTGGTTTACAACCAGCCGTAGAAAAGAGTCCTCACTCTCAGACACAGATGGCCTATGCCTTCGTAAAATGGGACTAAGCCAGGATCAGGCAACTATGGTGTCTGAGCCCAACCTGGCCTTCCACCAGCTTTTGTAAATAAGAGTGTATTGAAACATAACCAAACCCATTTTTTTTTTCACATACTGTGTATGGCTTTTTTCACTGCTCAAGGGCAGAGCTGAGTAGTTACAACAGAGACCACATAGCCTAAGTATCTACTATCTGACATTTTACAGAAAAAGATTCCTAATCTCTGAGCTACACTAAAGAGTAAAGCTACTCTGACCTTGTGATATACTGAATTACTTAGTACATACTTCCAGCCACAGGTCTCCACTCTGTGATAGACTATAAGTCCTAGCATCTATGCCTGTGGTTATGATCCCATTTTGGAGTGAGCTATCCCTATGTTAATGAAGCAGGAGTGGGATTTACCTTGGGTCACCTCTTTACCAGAGACTACGATTCAAGTCACCACCCTTAGTTTCTTTGAAGATAATATATGAGTGCCTGGGCAAAGTTCTCTATCGCTAGACAGTTGTCTGATGTGCTGATTTGAGTTCATGAACCTCTGTAACCACATGAGTGAGGAGAATTCTCCACCCTAACACCTGATTTGGGACTTTCCAGCCTCTACAACCATGTGAGCCATTTCCTTGGTGGTTTGTGAGTTCTGTGAGACATTGCAGCAAATTACAGAACCCTAAGATGGGAGGGAAAGTAGTGAGGGGAAGAGGAGTAGTTGATGACAGAGTGGGACAGTAGTTTAGAAAAGTCAGACATTTGGGACATCTTTAACCTTGGCCTTATAGGCATCAGCCTGTGCTGATCCTTCTAAAAGAAATTATTCATCCAGACTTGCCTTTAAAAAAAACTTTTAAAACAAGCTTTTAAAGTATCATACTGAACTCCAATAACTTAACTGAACACCAAACCAAAGGTAACGAAAACTTGATATATGATACCAAGTGTCTCTAAATAGAAATATTGCAGCTAATACACAAAAGACAAATGAAGGAACTTGAAAGAATCTGTACAACTCCCAATGAATTAATAGAACTAAGTGAAGAGCATCATTGGCTGTTAAATGTTACAAAAACAGACCACCAGACATTTGTCTCCTGGTACAAGAACCATCACAATTGGCACCAAGAGTCTTACCAAAGAGCCTGAATCTGACTCCGATCAGGTTTCTAGATCTAGGTGCCAATTTTCTGGAAACACAAAGGACAGAGTTCAAATAGTTTACAGCTGAGTTCTATCAAACTCCAAAGAACAGGTGACACCATGTAAACATGCTCAGCCACAGAAGAGATGTCAAGTTCCCTAACCCACTTCATAAGCACAATCTTAGTATTACAACTTCAAAGAAGGTTAATGAAAAAGAAATCGATCGGCCAAGGTCACTTATTACTATGATACAAGTTTCTAAATAAAATATTATAGAAAGGAATGCTGGAATACCACGATACAGGAGGGAAGAGTTCAGGACCACGAGGATGATTCAACATGAGAACATCTATGTAATTAACTACATTTACCAGTTTAAGGAAAAAGTCATTCACTAAATAATATAACTAGATGCTAATTTTGCACTTCATACTTCAATTCTAAGAATACTTTCAATAAAATGAGATGTATTTAAATATGAGAAAGAGCAGTTATGCTCAAATCAATGAAAACACTGTATAAGATAGTACAATATTATCCTAATGTATATCAGGAAGTAAATAGGGGAGCTGGCCATCAACATCATTGTTCAGTATTGTTTTATGTACACAGAATGAGTTTGGGTGATTTAACTTAAGAGTCTGACAAAGCCATGCTGTATATCCATAATTCAATTTGATATCACTTTTAGTATCAATGAATGTTGTGTCCTAAGGAGTATATGAAAATAATGCAGAACTCTAAAGTTCAGAGGGCTTTTGGATTACATGAAAAAGCTATTTAGCTATCTTAAAGTCTAACAAAACAAAATCCAAAAGAGATATGTGCTATAGACTTCTCTGAGTAGAGATTTAGAAGAGCAGTGGACTAGAGACCATACTCCTTTTGAAATTATGTAGTAACTGACAGTAGATATGAATAAATTTCAGTGCATCACATAAAGGTTGTTACCAAGAATCCAGTCAATGTTCTCATTAAAATCTCTACTGGTTTTTCTATCTCAAGCAAGCTGAGAAAGCAACCCTCAAAAGTACACGGGTTGATAAAATAATACCTTAATGCATTGGCATCTGTCAACTTCTGCAAGATTTAAGATTAGGAAGATACATTCATGAGACATAAAAATTGTATGAGTAATATTCTTATATTGAGGAATACACACACATTTGGTGTATATATTAGGCTAGGTTCTCCAGAGAAGTGAAAGCAGGGATGTAGATAGATACAAAGAGAGAGTGAGAGAGAGAGATTTATCTCAAGGAATTAGCTCATACTGCTGCAGAGGCCAGCAAGTCCCAAGACCATGGGTCAGGAATCGTGCTGGGGGCTTCTTCTGACTCTGCACTGGCTGCTGAATCCAGGGTCAGCAGGTCAGACAGCAGTCTGCTGCTCACAGGCTGTGGCAGCTGATGAATCCCAAGAACCGGAGGTCAGAGGATGATGATCCAATGTAGGATCCAGAGCAAGTGAGCAAGTTTTGCCAAAACATATCTAACTATCCATCAATATATACAGATGGAAAGATAGATAGATATAGGATACTATACCATACTCCCAAGGAAACACCCCTTATAATTGACTGCTGGATCACATTATAGGGGAAGAGTGTCTCATCACATAACTACCAAACCACTGAGAATCATGGCCCAGCTAAGTTGACACAGAACTTCACCATCACAGTGTATTACACTTGAAATATTTAAGATGTGGCCTATCAAAATAACAAGTTGACTTAATAATTCCAATTTAAATGTATAATTAAATAGTTTAATTGGAGGTGTGATTTTTTTGTTAAAATCTTATTAACCATATGTAGAAACTATAACATTTAAGAAAATAACTGTTCCATATTGATAAGTAACATTTAATAGGTATAAAAGAACTGTCTAAAAATTTGTAATTTTTGTCTAACAGACAAAGTATTTAAGAAGATTAAATATAAAAATAGACTTTAAAGGTGTGACAGTGTTCGAT